ATCATTATTTTGTTTAATTAATTAAAAAATAATGAAGGGTCTACAAAATTTTTTAATTGTATTACAATGATGTACAAAGGTCCTACTATTGATCTAAATAAAAAAACTAATGAATGTTCAATTATGTGGTGCCAACTACCAGTCACCGACATAAAACGAGCAAAATCGCTCCCCTGGTGTCACGTCTCAGAGGTTTCAGCAGCTTTCCTAGATTCACGGGGAATTTTTCCATCGGAAGAAACAAAACGCGCAAAAAAATCTCACCCCTGGAGACAATCATCAGGGGAGAGAATTAGTTATCTTTCAAGGAAAAATTTGAGTTTTTAATGGCATTTTTGTGCAGCTCGGGAGATATGTAGTGGAAAAATGGTGGTGAGTGGTCAGGGGGATATGACAGGACCGATTTATCATGAGAGACAGGTGAATAATAATATTTTCAGGGTTACGTTGTATTTCCAATTTTTTCCTTTTGAAATCCGTTTTTTATTAATTAAAATGAATCATGATTTCATTTCTTTCCATTATTTAATGAAAAATCCCAATGATTTGGACAGAAAACGGGTTAGGGTCGCCCTGTCGATGATTTAAGGATTGGGGTTGAATGGGGGTATTTTGTAATTAAGAAAAAATTTTCCTACATCTCCAGTGAGTTGGTTAAATGCTCAATTCGTCAGGGTGTCGAAATGATTGAGAGAGAAATGGAATGTGTAATGTATGAATGCAATTACTATTGGACTTGTTTGAGTTTCAGGTGAAGCAGCTGTGTGCCCTGCACGCCCTGAATAACCTTTTCCAGGAGAGGGGCTTCAGCAAACAGGAACTGGATCAAATTTGTTATGGATTGAGTCCTGATGTTTGGATTAATCCTCATAAATCGCTCCTGGGATTGGGAAATTATGATATCAATGTTATTATGGTTGCACTCCAGACGAAGGGATGTGAGGCTATCTGGTTTGATAAGAGAAGGTGAAAAAAAATTTCACGGGTTTTTTAAACATTTTTTTCAAGTCTCCAAAAATTGCAACTCAATAAAAAAAAATGCAAAACTTGAATTAAAAATTTGACACATATTATAAGACCGAAAATGCAATCTGAATTAATTTTTGCTTCAATTTAGAAACAAAAATGCAGTAATTAGGGGATATTTATCCAGAATATAAAAAGGAGAAACTATATTTTTGCATATTTTTACTGAAGGGATCCAAAGTGTCTGTGTCTCGACAGCATAGATGGCTTCATTCTGAATGTCCCAACGGAATACAAACTGGGCTTTGTGCTTCTACCCCTGAAGAAACGCCACTGGATAGCCCTGAAGAAAATCCAAGGTGCCTTTTACAATCTCGATTCGAACCTCGACTCACCCCAGCTGATAGGCAAGGAAGATGATTTATTGACATACCTGAAAGACCAAATTGAGAGTAAAGACAAGGAATTGTTTCTGGTTGTGTCCAGGGAAGTGGCGACCAGTCAGGAGTGGCTTGTCAAAGTGAATTGCAATGATTTTTTGGATGAAAGTGGTGAGAAAATTTTTTCAACCGACAGTGATGAAATCAGGTACATTGAGGATGGACTCAGTACAGACATTGAGCTCGATAAAAAATCTCAGGAGGATATGGACAATGATAATGTCATTGTTAATGATAACACGAGAAAATCTCCATTATTGTCCAACTTTTTCACTTCATGAGATTGAATTATAATCCCGGTGTTTTGACGCAGTGTCTCAGGCCCATAGGTTTCAGATTCGATTCCTGACCCGAGTAGAGTGGTGAGATCTAACCATTTTTAAACTCTTGATCAATCGCCACACAGTTATCATGACTCGAAGCGACGTAAAAGTAATTTTTAAAAATTGAATTATGATGTTTCTCTCGAGTTTCTGAATTTGAACAAGTTGAATTTTGACTCTCAAAAATACAGGGAATCTTTTCATAATTTTCGTACAAATAGACAATTTGTCTAACCCAGTAGTTCATGAAAAAAAAATGGACACGGGGAATGGATGAGCTTTTCTTATTCACACAATAAAGTATTCCCTGATTTTTTGATGAGTTTTTGATTGAGTTATCGTCAACAATCATTTTATGTCATCTGAATGTATATATAAATAATCTGACGTCTAACTGATAATCTGCGTTCACGAATTAATTGTTTAGCCATTGAAAACACCAAAAAGTGATGTTTTATTGAATTTGGAAAATCGAAAAATCGGTGGAAATAGATTTTTCTATTACTAAACGATATGAAAATCATTTTACAACAGTACAACGTTCGTCTTGTGATCTGTAGCATCTGCACAGTGTATACTACTCGTAGATAGCGTTAGCATTAATTTATCAAGTATCGATGCAATATTTTTCACGTTACAATAAATGCTTGGCTTTATTTTATCAATTCAACTGATCATTGATTCAGCCATTCACGCGCGAAGAGGAACAAATATAAAACTAGTCCAAGTGTGAGACAAATAATTGTAACCATAATAATCGTAATTTATGTTAATCATTAGAAACACATGGGATACATTTTTTCATTGTTATTTACATGGATAAATAAATTATTTTTCTTCATTTTTTAACTGAACCCGAGTTTAATCAATCGTAAGAATACGTTATAAGAATCGAAATTTCACCCAAATTCTTTAAGTAATTATTTTATTAATTAATCAACAGACCGTAAAATATCACCACTTCATACTCAATGCACTATTCATTTTCTCTATCTCATGATATTGAGTGTGTAGAAATGCCGAGGCCTTGTCAGAGTGTCCAGAGCCCAGCCAGGACTTGTAGAGATTCCGTACAATTTTATTCTCCTCAGGTTTACTCTCTGGCAGCTCGTGATAGAGTTTCTCCAGTGTTTGGGCGAGTTCCCTGGGCTGTGATCCATCCTGAGGGCGAATTTGGGCGCCACCATTAAGACATCCTGTTGAAAAAAATTCCAAACGATATATTAAATTCGATCTTCGCTCTCAGGGGCTCCCTTCAACGTTTTCCAACGACTGTTTTATGCAGTCAATTAAATAATTCATAATATAATGAAGTGTGGAATGTATTTAATATTAATGAGAAAAAAAAATACCTGCTGGGCACGCCATCACCTCGATGTAATGATAAGTGCATTTGTCCCTCTTGAGTTTCTGTACGACGTTCTGAATATTCCTGAAGCCATTGGCCACTCCAAACCTGAGGAGGATCTCTCCATCCCGCTCCAGCACGCCCTCCTGAAAGTCAGGATTTCTCAGAGGCCGCAGCTCAAGTCTTGCATCGGAAACCTGAAACAGATGCTTCGCCGCGTACTCGAAAATGAAGTCGGCGTATCCACCGGAGCCAGAGCCACTGTGAGACCACAGATCCACGTGTAATTGATCATCAGTGGTGAAAGGTGTGTCGAGGCTCGCAGGATCGACGTCACACAGAGTTTTTCCCTGATTCTCCAGCATCTGTTCAAGTTCTATACTCGTTATAACACAGTCGACGTCTCTCGTCTCCTTCAACCTTTTGAGAAAACAATTCCATAAATGTGAAACCATTTGATGCCCCAAATCCTAATATCAGAATTCTTGCTCATGTTCTAATCTTACTTGTTGTAAAAGTCGTCCCGCGATGCCTCCAATTTTTTATCATAACATGGCATCAACGTAATGTGATAAATACGCTCTGGCGATAGAGATCGCCTCTCAGCGAGATAATTCTTGACTAGAGACCCCATAATTTGCTGGGGAGACTTGGTGACACCGATGAGAGGGAGAATAAAATTGCCATGTGTTTTCTCAGCATAGCAGACCCAACCGGGACAGGAAGATGCTAGCATGGGTAATTGTCCCTTGGATCCCTCCTGATGGGACTTGAATCTCTCCATAAACTCTTTCGCCGACTCCAGAAGTGCGAAATCTTCGGCCGCTGACATCTCCAAGACTAGGTCTGCCCCCAGAGATTTGAAGTACCCAGAGAGACGTCTGGTGGTATCCCCCGGGTCAAGGTTGTATTTTTGAGAGAGGGAGAGTACTGGTTGCACTGAGAGACTCACTGCTATGAGCTTTGGAGATTTGTTCTGGAATTTGAGGGATTGGTTCTCCTGGAACACCCGGAGGAGCTCCTCCTGGGATTGCTGAGTCACTAGGACACTTTCTGCTGAAGTTATGCATCCGGAACAGGCGAGACAGTCTGCCAGAGTGATCTCTACCTTTTGCAATTTTTCCGAGCCTGTCTGAGGGAGAATATTCAGTCATTTTGATCGTTCATTTTTTTTCAAGGAAATTGAGAGTTGTGTTTAGAGGAAGAATTGTCTAATGGAATAATTGAAATCGTTGAAGTTTATGGTTAATATTAATGATTGGCACCTCATTAAGCTCGACGTAAGCTCCGTCATCCTGAATTTTGATTTTAGAACCGGTTTTGCTCGTTGATTTCAGGACTTCGATGGGTTTTATGCATTCCTAGTGCATATAAATAATAAATAATGAAAATTGGATTAAAAAGCTCGTCATCTTTTTTATTTAATGGTTTTTAATGAATGAAAAAATAATTCTCAGGGTTAGTTAACCTGCGATGGAGTTATAAAATCATCGAGGCTAGTTATCTGGAGAGCTCCACTGAACCTCGATGTCATTATGTATTTCTTTGAACACTTGGCAATACCCAAAATTCAAATGATTATTAATTGACAAGTAATAAACAACAATGACGTAAGAACGTGACACAGTTTTTGAAATTTACAGAACTGAATCAGAGTATATAATCTTTGTGACAGCTCCAAAGAGGATTGACTAAAGTATACTAAAGTCAGCATAAGTTTTTACTTCTCTGGGTACCCCCACTCGACGTAGTTATCACTTGTAACCATGTCCCCCACTCCTAAAATCAATGTTAAAACTTATGCTGACTTCAGTATAGCAGTCCCGCTGTCGGAGGGACTACGATGCCGCTGGCGTCACTTCAACTGTGGCCACTCCGTTGTCTAGTCAAGACTCAAACCACGAGAGTCACCTTACCGACCGAGCCACATCCAGTCAGGAAATCGTCCAACCCACTGAGCGACCTCGCACGATCCCTCGAAAGAGAAAGCAGAAGCTCATTCCTCGCAGCCTCGCTGACTGACCACAGCTGTAGCATATTGTTCTCATAAATCTTTTTATATCATTTAAGTTGTTTTTTTATATTGTTCGGACTTTTATAACTATAAATATTGTTAATCACGAACAAGTCCAACCCTTGAACATTTATGTGGTATAATACATAACGACCACACAACCCCCAGAACTGGGCCTCTACTTTAGTCAATCCTCTTTACACCCCTGCCCTAGCATTGCCCGTGGCGCCCCTCTCTCTTGGGGTGAGGTACTACAATGCCGGTGGGGTCACTCAAACCCCCAGAACTGAGCCTCTACTCTAGTCACTCGTCTTTGAATGAAACATCCGCGAATTTCGTTTATTTTTCATCATGGCGAACCACGACAAAGGACGCAGAAAGTGGGGAGGAATTTCACAAGGTTTCAATTTTATGTAAAGTGTTGATTGTGCTAACTTGTCGAGACTTAATTTATTGATTACGTGTTTCATTGCTCCACGAGATTTATTTTTTGTGACTCAATGCCTATTATAGAGTGTCAACAATGTACTATTTATATTGTTTAACCTACAATTTTTCTGTTTAACCTTAAAACGTAATCTCAATGTCGAGTCTTTGTCGTTGATTTGCACAAATTCATCGGTTCTTTGTATTCCACTGATTTTTTTCTTCGAAATGATTTTCAACTCGTAACAATTTTTCATGCATTCAACTCACTCATGACTATGGAAATGAGAATATCGGGTGAAACATTCATTTTGGAGTTCCAAGAACGAATTACAAAGAGGTGAAACATTGCATCAATTAGCGAAAGTGTTTGCGAAAGAATTTTGATTGGTATAGTTTTCTGATTGACTTGTCAATTTTTAATTTATAGCTAATTAGTTCGTTCTGACGCTCCAATGTTTTTTTTTGGTGAAAAATGATATTCCTATTTTCTAGAAAAATCTTAAAGACGCGGTAAATAATAGATGTGATTGAGGAATAAGTCAAATATGATTCAAGTACTTTATAATTAAAATTAAATCGATGAATATCCATTTTTTGTCAAATAAACTTGACAATTAAATAATAATCGTGAAATTCTGTCTGACAATCAACCAATCAAATTTGCGAAATAATAATTTGTATAATTTCCAGATAATTCAGACTCAAAAATCGAGAAAGATCGGTCAATGGGCGGTCGAGGTGGTGGACCCAGAGGGCCTCAACTCTTGTACACACCAGGTAGTGGCCCCTTAAAAAAAACTGGACGTCAATGCGATGATTATGCAAACGATCCATTATCGCACCACGAGGAGAGGAGAAAACCGAACTCCGTCCAGGATCGACTCAAAGTCGCACAATATAACAACACAAATCATAGCCAGAAGTCTCAGGATAATCTCGCCGACGAGATGAATGACATCCACATAAACTACAAACAAAACAACGACCAGGGGAAGGGGAATCACTTTGTATATTCCCGTAAAAGGAATAAAAAACCAGAGCAGCAGTTGTACGTACCGAAAAAAGTGCAAGAGGCATTGGCCGAACGAGACGTAACGAATAGATCACCAGTGCAGCAAAACTGGGAGCGTCCCCGTGACCGAGAGGACTGGGACACCCAGTCATCGCGCTCTCACCGTTCATCTCGTTCAAGTAGACCATCAGATCCTCGCCCCTCGGATCATCCACAAAAACGATTTCCCCTGCGTCGTAACCGCAATCCGAGCGAAACGGACGACTCCTGGCGTCCAGAATCTCCCCGACCCTATCAAAACCACCAAAACCATCATCGAAACATGCGCCAGGGCTCAGAGCCCCCTTCATCACCTCAACCCTCCCAAAACCACCAGATCCAGCACGATCCCCCAAGAATCCGTGACACAAGAAGTGTCGAACCGTCGTACGACAAATTTCCACGCAAGCCACCCCTGGGTCGTCGTCACTTGTCAAAAGTCAAGTTCTCAAGACTCGAATGCCTTCCCCCTCGACTGCAACGTAAACATCTAGCTGAAAATGGAATCGATTTGCCACCACCAAACCCCGAAAATTATCCACAAATCCACCATCAGACCTATTCCCAGTCTCATTATCCCTCAAATTCTCCCACAGCTCCTCCACCCCCTCAGCAATGGTCCAACACAATTCCCATTCGTTCGAGAGGTCGTGGACGTCTTCGTCAAGACGATCTCGAATCCCAGAATCATCGACCAACCACTCCAGATCAATATTCAGCTCCAAGTTCCCGTTCCCACACACCTAGCCAGGAATTAATGACAAGATCTTACGAGCGACGAGGAAGCAACAGCACCATGTACACGAGCATGGAGTCCCTCTCGAGAATGGATTTGGGACCTCCATCCAACAGTAGTGATAATTACAGAAGAGCACCCTCACCGGTGGTAACAAAATCCAACAATAATTTCGACCGACAGAATTCAGAGAGAGACACCCAAAATTCCACAGGAAATCCCAATGAAGCGTTCCATTCGCTTCCGGACACACCTACGGGGACGCTTGATTGGTCTGAGGAAGTGGAATTGTCGGAGAGACTCGAGAATGAGCGGCTGAGTCGAAGCTCTTCGATATCCAGCTTCAGAGAGACTGCCAGTGTCTCGGGTCACAGCTCCAATGCAACAATCAGCAGAAATCGTTCACAGAAGAAAAAACGACGTGAACGGAGGAGAAGTCGAGGTGATCGGAGCAACAGTCGAGACAAGACACGAGGTAACAGTCACGAGAGAGTGAAGAATCAGCAGAATGAGAACGATAATTACAATAATAATCAAAACAGTGGAGCCAGGAGGTACGACAGGAGAATTGGAAATCGAAATATAATGAATCGGAGTAGAGAGAGCAGTAAGGATCGGGGATTTACTAGAATAAGAAATGAAAATACTGAGGCTAATTGGAGAACTGGGAAGAGAATATCGATTTGTGAATCGGATGATGGAAAACGAGCGCCATTAAATACTAATATTAACACTGGGAGAGGAAATTCACCGGTGAGAATCGAGGGATCGACACCAGGAGTTTTGGTTCTTCCAGAGCAAATGGTGTCGCCACCAGTTGTGTCAAATAGAATTGATAACAGACAGCCAGGCTTGGGGAACAGAAGAACTCTATTCGATCCTAATAATCCAAATAAACCTATTGAAATTGTACCATCACCGGGATCTCGAGCCTCTGGTAGTGATTCGTCGGGACAATTTCCAGGACAATACGTTCCCTCCAATTTTCAACAAAGCCTTCAAGTAGATGGCGCTCCACCCACATACATCGCTGATCAATTGTCGAATTCCATGCCTTCTTGGTATGATCCTTCTTCGGAGAGTCTCAGATCAGCGAAGAATCCTTGTTTGTTGCTCGGAATTGAGACGATGGATCGAGAACTCCATCGGCTTTTGACTTCTGGTGGAATCACGACAAATTGGGATAGAGTGGCTTTCCTCAGGCATTCGTTGCAGCAGAGTCTTCAGACGCTTTTAGAAACTGATATGAAGTTCTGTCAGGCTGAGAACGTAGAGCAGCACTTCTGGAAAATTTTGTTTTACAATATCATTGAGATGTTGCGGAAAATTGTGCCGAAGGAGGGGCCTGCTGGCAAGGAATTGTGCAAGAGGATCATGCTGAAGATTATTGATGATGGAACAGGTTATTTTGAGAACTTATTGACTGTTTTGGAGACGAATTATAAATTCAAACTGGAGGCTTTCCTTTCCTCCTCGGTGACGCCTAAGGGCCTGGGATTTGTCGGATTAGCTTTGATCAGTGCTCAGAAGATTTTTCTATTCTTGGGGGATTTGGCGAGGTACAAGGAGCAGGCCAATGAAACCACCAATTATGGAAAGTCCAGGCAGTGGTACTTGAAGGCCCAACAGATCAATCCCAAGAATGGCAGGCCTTATAATCAATTGGCGTTGCTGGCGCATTATGCGGTGAGTTGAAATATCACGAAAAAAAATGTATTCTTTCATCTGTACGTTTACATTTTATTAATTGTTATTTTTTTTTCAGCGAAGAAAACTCGATGCTGTCTATTATTACATGCGTTCGTTGATGGCATCAAATCCCCTCCATTCGGCCCGGGAAAGTCTCATTGCGTTGTTCGATGAAAATCGAAAAAAGGTAATATATTCCATTTCATGAATTTATTTATTTTCAAAATAAAAAATGATATAATAATCTCTCCTATTAAATCTTACAAAACATTAATGTATATTTATGAATTTTATTATGCTGCCAGTATCTGCATTATGTAAGTAATTTTGTAAAAAAATCTTGAGTGAATGCTAGAAATTATCAAAGATAACTCATCAATTCCATAAATCGGAGATGTAGAAAAATAAAGCCAATCGTATTAATCACCATGCTCATAATTAGACCTTAATTCTTCTCATGGAGAAATGATAGATGAATGGGTTAATTGATAATTTTTATTTTTTTTTTAATGCAGTATGAGTCTACGGAGCGGAAACGTAAGGAAGAGCGTGAATGGAAGGAACGTGCTCGCATGAAAGAGAAAGAGGGTGCAAATAATTTGAGTGGTGGGTTGAGACGAGAGACGTGGATTCATCCTGGTGGTAGACGAATGAGGAGGACAACATCAGCTGCTAGCACTGCTGAGGCCAAATTGGCGCATAGTGATTTGGAGGAACTGGCGCAGTTGAGCAGCGTTGAGGTATTTTTCTTTAATCCTAAATTTTTTTTACGTTTTTACTGAGAAGAGTTATGGGTACACCAATCGAAACTCGATCAATCTCAGATTATTGGAATTAATTTTCAATTATAACTTCGGATAATTTAAATTGAAATTACATTTGTGGGGTTGATACATGTATAAAACCGATGTAGTTACCGCACGAATTCTTTCTTCAATCAGTTCGGGTAATGGAAATTCTCGGCGTGACCACCAAACATCTCTCATGAAATCGTTGGAATACTTCAGATAATTTTCATATTGTTTTACTCGGTACCTAAAGCTCGTCGGAAGTAAAAAATGAATATTTCCGTGGATTATGCAGATAAACATTTGGAATCAAGTGAATTTTATAATTAAAAGTAAAGAAAAATTGGCAATGCAAAACGATCAAAAATAATAATGAAAAATACGCAATTTATTGTCAGTAACATTTGACAATCCATTTTTATTCTATATTCTCGAATTTTTATAAATATATATATATTTCTTTCGTTTCTTCAGGTGAACAAGCGGTTTGTGACATCGTATCTCCACGTTCATGGCAAGCTGATCACAAAAATCGGGTGAGTTTTAAATTTATCTCACAGAAGTCTCTCGTTAATATTTTCTCTTCTACTCCTCAATATTTCTCCGGTGATAATCATTACGTAGGCAGGTGCGAATAGGTGTAGAATTTGAGGGTAAAGTAGGCGTGAAAAGTCTTGCGAGTGCAATAGTAATTCCAAGAAATTTTCAAGTCAAAAGGGGAGAGCAGTCTCGTCAAATGGTTAAAAAAAAAATGAAGAAAGTAAGAAAAGAACATTGGAAAAATGGCCAACAATAATTTTATGGCTCACAGGTGTTGAGAGTGTCAGTAGTAAATTTCGTTGAACGAATGGAGAGAATTTCTGGGTATTTTTTTCCGGTAGTTAGAGAATGTTTAGATGACGTCTATGTTATCGTAGAGCCAAATGAACAAATGTGCACGTGTACGCGTGCCAGTAGTGCTTGGAACATTGAGTAAACGACAATAACTTCATTCACGTCTCAACAGAATATCATTGTTGAATTCTTCCTGGTGTATTAAATGAAGAAAACAACAGCGAAATAATGTTGAGTAATAAAATTAGCCCACCAAACAATTTGACGATGGGGTACGTGTAATTGAATCGTCTGAGCTGATCATTAATATCAGATTGGCTTAGAGTTTCCAATGTTCACCCAACTGGCGCCTAAAACTTTCACGATTACTGAAATAATTACCTCGAGCGTCTTAAAAGCTTTATTCCATCTAAAACCAAACAGAAAATTGTTTTCATCGGGCGTGTGATAATTTTAAACGCGTCATCTCCATAAAAAATCCCAAACAACTACAATATCTCTTGTGTGGGTTTAACTATTAGCTCTGAGCCCTCACGATTGTTTATCCTCTCCTATTCTTTACGTGTTGCAACCGTTAACTTTACCATTCTTCCTCTTCAACTCCTCTTTGTCACTTTGTACTTAATTTTCTCAGAAACGAAGTATCAATGACCTAAGATTCAGTGAAAACAAAAAATAAACCGAAGAATAATATGTGTTGAACGGTTGCGAGCCCTCAAGACCAGTTAAAACAGAGTGAAATTGATAATTATTAAAGATAAATTATGTGTTTTTCCATAATCTTCAAAATCTTTTCCAAGTAATATCTCGACACTCAAGGTCCAACTCATCATCCACCAATAATCCATTCTATTCTAACCTCCTCCCTCCCACTTATTTTTTTTTCTCATCCTTATTTTTAAGAGATCGCCCCTTTTTCTCCATCCCATCCACCTGCCATAATAACCATGGTGTAATCTCGTAGTGGCTTTGCCCTCGGTAAATCATATCCGGAGTTGTTTCAACCAATTACCGGTGGAGTTCAGGGCTTTTCTTCTCTTGGTTTCGCAATTAAACCAGCCTTGATACCTTAGGTATAAACCATTAGATAAATCCCATAGGTGTAGATGCATTGACCTTGAGTCATGCTCAATAACTTTCTCCACTTTCCGTTGGTTAATTATGCACAAAAGTCTGGCCATTGGTTGACCTTGATCACTGGCTAACTACGACGAAAATTCGATGAATGAGAGAGGAATTGTGAAAATAAAAAAGACGTGGGAGGACGAGTTGAATTCTCACCGGTATATAATTCAGAGAGGCATAACTCTCATTTTATAGTCTTGCAGTTTGACGAAAGCGAAAAGTTGGGAGTTTGATTTGCAATTGGTGGGGTTCGCCGGGATGGTTGTCCGAGTGGCCGATATTTGCATCTCGTAAAACCAAATAGGCACCTTTTATTCAGCATCGAATGCTATATCGTGTAACACAGTAAACTACAATCACGGACAAAAGTCATTATTTCATCCTTCAACCATCGTCCTTCTTCGCTTCGACTTGACTCATTGGCTCTTCTTCTTTTTGCATCGATTTTTTGGTTATCGATACTATAGACCGTAACATCGTCTAATGATATGCTGTCTCAAAGGAGAAAGGAGCCAATGTTAAATGGATAGCCTAGGGTATCCATCAGGAGCGACTTGAAATCGTCTGTGCTGGATAGCCAGACGCACGATTAGCAGTACCATTCTGCACATAATCATAATTAAATGCATCCCCCATCACTGGATACCTCGGTTCATCTCTTTGGTGAGTGTGAGAGAGAGATTCATGAGTAAAGGGGGAGTTGAAAGACTATACTCGTTGGGTTACTCTCGGCCAACATCGTGTTTTCTCGAGAGGGGGGCAAGACGCTAAAAATGTTAATTGACAATTGCGTGGCGCCACTATCCAACCACTAGGCTGATGTACATCGGGTGCTACTACATACCGGGTGTTCTTATCACCACTCCAAGTACTAAATCATTGATATTTTAATTGTGAAATTGTTGGAATATTGGAGATTCAAGGGGTAATGGGGAACATCGAAGAACGTGTTCAAGGGAGATGAGATTGCTTCTTAAATTCCTCGAGGTAGTCAGTCTCGGTTTTCGATCGAATTACCTGTCTCGAAGAATTTGGCTGATTGAATAGATTTCGGTAATTAATATTTGATAAAATAATCTAACGACGTCGTAATATCTTCACTTGTAATATTAAAACATTGAGGGGTAATATCGAATAAAATTCAGAGCGGCCACCGTATGAGTGGACCATCTGATCTAGTAGTCTATCCCATGACAGATCAGACAACATGTCAATTCCATAGTACTCTCCCAACTCTCTCCGATAGTTATCATTGCAATCGGCGAAGTCGCGGTGTTAATTGCAATTCCACTTGAAATATAAATAACGTGTACATGAAGAAGGGCAATTAGTTGAGAATTGTGAAAATGAGGGATCAAGTAGGTGATGGAAGTGGTCGAAAATGAATCTGTATATTGGCAAGTTGATGATATGGTGGTAGTGTGAAAGTTTGTTGAAGCTAAAGCACTACCATCTCACGTGTGAGATCAGAGTGAGATCACTGATGGTCGTTTACCCGGGGCTCGTGTGACGACCCCGCCCGCTTCAAGGACACACAACACCGTGGCGAACAACCATGCCAGTGATTCGCAAGTCTTATATCCTCGACATTACCAATGTGTCTCTGTACTGGTATTCACTATTCGAACATGAATTGTCCCATTCTCCATCGACCAACAGGTCAATGTCGTCGATTAGCCGTTGTCTCCACGTGGTTTTCTCCATCACTGGAATAGTCATTGTCAACAATACTTTATTTTATTTATCATCCATCGCTCCATACCACCATTCCATCGTATTCGTCCAAGTCCAATTCTCTTTTTCACTGGCTTGTCCATTGCTTGCATTCCAATCCATGCTCTTACCTAGCTATTCCATTTATTTTTATTCTCATACTCTTTCAAGAGTCACCTCCTCTGACGTTTACACCACTGGCTGTTTAACTGAATTTATCGCTTTGATTTAATCATAGACGGATGGATTGATTGAAACATGGCAAATTATTTTGTTGGAAATTGTGAGGGGGATTTGGTGAAATAGAATATGGGTAATGGAGGGCTGGTTACACTGGGCTGGTGGCTGGTTAGAGATCTGATGCTATGGTCTGTTTTTAGACAAGGCACTGCTTAACGAGACAGTCTTTCGAATAAGTAGTTGGTGAGGCCACCCAGGTAGTTCCGGTTCGTTACACCCCCGGTGCAGCCCATCGTCATCACTCGTTGAAAAATTATTTAACAAAATGGCCTCCATCGCTACCATCAATAAAATTAACACACGCATTCCCACTATTTTTAAACTGCACTGCCGACGCACTTGATATATTGAGTATTTAACCTCAATCATGTACAACATATTTACTATCTTCAAAATGAATTCTCTCTGTTGGCCTACGAAAGGGATAATCCAGCGATTAATAACAACCACTTCGTAATCCTCGTGTACGTGATTTTAAGGTCATCCAGAGATTCTCTGAAAATTAGCAAATTGAACGTGATCCTGAGATTTATAATCGCACATCGTGATATTGAATTATCACAATATGAATAAATATTGATTTTAAGTTGAGGTTGTAGCTTAATGTTGTTTGGTGCGAGGCCACTTGAAGGTGTTTGATGTTAAAAGGGAATAGAAATGAATTTTGTTGGGATTTTCATCCTCTTGTCGAGTCTTTGAAGGGTAACGTTGACTCGACGGTTCTTTATTCGACTCTTCACATCTACCCTTCGTACATATCTCCAATGGATTTCTGCGTGACGCCTCTTTTCTCCACTGCTGAGCAAACATTTGTCTTGCTCTAATCGAAAATCCGTGGAAAATTGTCGTTAACGCATCGGGTGAAAATACAACCCCTCTGTCTTTCATTCTGCAAAAACGTTTCAGAGACGATGAAGAAAGCGACTATTCCCTGTTGAATTACATCTCGAGATTCTCAGCTCCATTTTATCGTTTGATTACATGATTTAAAGAGGCTGTAAAACGAATGAACAATTTTAAAGCGTTGCTCTAGGTTATGTCGACCGTAACTTTGATGCGTCTAATAATGTACCTTTTCCAAGGTTTTACCTATCGTGCATAATATCATTTGGAGACTAATGGGTCATTATGGTTATTTCAAACTCGACTATCTTGTCTGCATTACTGACAAGGACGACAGTTAACCTCAAATATTCTCCCTTATTCATTGACCACATTGAAGATGGGAGAGGAATGGAGGAAGTAAAAATAATATCTGTGGGATACAATTTCTACGTCGTCAAGATGATTTTAATCTTGTGTGTAATGTGGAAAATCCAGAAATAGCACACGCACGCACTATCTGCATTTGTATAAAATATAAATTCATTGAATTTCACTTTTTACTCGACTATCCGGTCATTTCCCTGAGATTCTCTAATCCAGATAAAATGATGAGAGAAGGTTGAATTACATTTCTATCACGCTTCGTTGATCTTATCAACGGGCATCCCGTCGCGACTCGATTAATTGTTCTATCGATAATCTCTCTTCCAGTGGACATTTAAAAATTTTTCAAATGGCAGAAGTTATAATCTTAATAAACCTTATCTGCAACTCCACTGCCGAGTAAATTCGTTATGAA